GTCATATGAAATACAAAGGTATAAAAATAAATGTGCTGCTCAAAAACGGCATGTCTGAATGATGTAGCAGCAACCACTTGGATTTCGGAAAATCTTTATTCTCCTTTACTGACTCCAACCAGTTTCACAGCGGCAGGACAGAGTAAACAGGGCTCAAAGTAAAAAAAAAAAAAAATACTTTATCTGAAGCACAAACAAAGCATCCCAGTCTGTTCCAGCTTAAGACAGAGACTCTGCAAAACCTAAACTTCTCCTCATATCATAATGATTCAAGCTCATAACCTCTTCAGGCTCTTCTGGTTACACCCCTGAACGTGGTAAATTTTACGTCAGATGTCAGAACGTAACCAGCTTTGTTGATGTTAGAAAGAAAACACATGATCACACACATAGTTTGTTTTAAACTTATGGCTGCAATGATCAGAATGTGTAAAAATACAATACTGCATCTAACATTCAGTTAGTCAGTTACAAAATTTCCTTCAAAGAAATTATAACAAATGCTGTTCAATGTATGTGTAGGAAATGAGCTTAGGATGTAATAAGCTTTTTCCCACATCTCTCATACTCAAGGTTATGAGGAAAAATTTTACCACGGTTTTCTCATTATTTGTTAATACCTTAATATCTAATATAGTCATTTGCTTTAAACTGTGAGCAGAGTCAGCAAGTCTCTTTCAGTGTTCTTTCTTCAGTATCAGCATAGATAATACAATGCAGTAACGTAATGACATAGTGACGTTAAATGTACCACCTTAGCGTGTGATGTGCGTGTGTGTGTGATTTACATAAACATCAAGAGTTTGTTTTGTAGGTAGTTAAACTTCACCGGCAACAGACACCGGCCTGCAGAGAGATTTTGTTGATGTTGTGGTTATTGATACCAACTGAAGGTCACAGACTTAGGCTGGAGAGAACTGATTGGACCAGATGGAGAATAAAATATTTTTTTCCCAGTAAATCAACTGGGATCTTGCACAAATTACTCTGGCTTCCATTTATTAATCATGTTGCAGTAACATAAAAGGAACTTTTTTATTTC